CATTCTAAATGAACCATGGATCAATGAAATCCCCATTTTGGGCTCTCATGTATTGATCTTAGCCAGGGTATTGTGGGGGTATGGTATACCTTAACTCCAAACCAACACCCAGGGTGAATCCTAAGGCCAAGTAGTCCTATAGGAACTTTCCTTGAGTTCCCTCATAATGATCTTTCCTACTAAGTGCTAGAGGTTAAGATCAATATGTGGAACTTCAAGTTGAGTAAAGAGAAGAGTTTTGAATTTCTAATGGTGATGATACCTTTTCTAGTTTTCTAAGACTAGTCAATAGGAAAGTCCTATGGCTAGACCTAGGCTACTAAAGAAGTTTTTAGACCTCAACCAAAAGTGAGGTCAACAACGACTTGCGAGCAGGCTTCGAAAAGCTGTAAAAGGGACTAAACGAAGGTCAGGGATCTGAATAGCGAAGGAAGAAGCTCTCGCGAAGGATCTATTCGTGAAGCGAGAGATCGCGGAAGGAGCAGTTCCCTCGGGAAGAATTCTGGAGCGGGGTTTTTTCGTGAAGAGAAGGTTGCGGTCTACGGTCCGATTCTTTCCCGAAGGAGGCTGATGCGGAGGATTTTCGTGATTTTTTGCGAAAGACTGAGGTGTTCAAGCGGCGGAGGGAGCGGTAGAGGAGCAAAATTGGAAGCGAGAATGCGGGAAAAGGAAATTCACGCAGAAAAGGAAAGTTCGCGGAAAATGAAATTTAGCGTGGAGATATTATGGAGATATTCCAGGACTCAGGAAAGGCAAGGAAAGAAAATATGTTGCGGCACTCGGAAAAAAAAAAGCTGGAGGCTACCCGATTGGAAGGAAATTGGTATTTCGCCCTTTTGTGAAATTCCAAGACGCGGAACTGCAGGCGCAGTTTTCGGAATTGCAGGAGCTTTTCTGGAATGCGGAGTTTTTCTGAGAAGGAAAGCGAAGCTTTTCGAAAGGAAAAAGGATCTTTTCTGGAAAGCTATGGCGAAGCTTTTTTGGAAGGAAAGCGAAGGCGAAGCTTTTCTAGAAGGAAAGCGGAAGCGGTGCTTTTCTGGAAGGAATGCATAGGCGAAGCTTTTCTGAGAAGGAAAGCAGAGTTTTCTGAAAGAAAAAAAAAGTTTTTTCTGGAAAACGAAAACAAAGCTTTTCTGAGAAGAAAAGCGAAGCTCTTCTTGAAAGTTAAGGAAAATGATTTCTGGAAAGTTTAATTAAGGAAAATTTAATTAAAAGAATGTCATTTTTTCTTGGAAACTTAATTATCTTAATTAAGAGATTATTTAAAATAGTAGTCCAACTCACATTTGTGCATAAAAAATTCCATGATATATTTTTGTTAAGGGGTTGGATATTCGCCAAGGTGGAGATGTGTTGGGTATTTGTATTTCTCCTAAGGGACTGGATATTCGTCAAGATGGAGATTTGTTAGGTATGGCTCATAATACCATAATTTGGAGTCTCTTGGAATGAAGAGATGTCTCTTGGAATTGAAGATATGTGTCTCTTGGAATTTAGTTGGTTGGAGGGAGCAAGGGCGCAGCGGAAGCGTGGTGGCTAACCACATCGCCAAGGTGGAGATTTGTCAGACATCTGTATTTCTCCTAAGGGGTTGGATATTCGCTAAAGCGGAGATTTGTTGGGTATATGTATTTTTTCTAAAGGGGTTGGATATTCGCCAAGGTGAAGATTTGTTAGGTGTGACTCATATACCATAAATGGGACAGATGCTGGAGCAAAGTAGTGCCCACGAGCGGAGTGGAGCGGAAGGATCTGTCCAATTGGGGGAGTTTCATTATGTGGGTTGGGGGTGCGGGGCAACACCCGCGGTTTGGTACAGAGGTAATTTAAGTAATTACGTATTATACTATAAGGTTATATATATGTCTTGCATGTAACCCTAGGTGGGCTAAATTTTGTATTCTGTATTATTTTTTGAATATTGAAAAGGAAATCGCCGCTATGCTCCCGAGGATGTAGTAATTTTTGTCAAACCTCGTAAATCTCTGCGTGTTCTTCTGGATTTGTGTCGATTTCCTGTTTTCTTCGCCCTAATTTCTCAAGAGTATACATGTATATGCTTTAAGGAAAATTGTTAATTGAAGCAAATGTGTAGTTTTCAAATAGCTCACGATGCCCAACTTCATATGCATAAGAATTATTTTGAATATAGCATGTAATAGAAAATTTTTCACATTTCAATAATCTTTATGCCCCACGAAATCCTTCACAATGCTTTAGAATATTTCTCAGCTATTGTGGACTATCCTACAATTATGGCTTTTCATTTTCAGTCAAAGCGAAAAGCTGACAGTGAAGATGTTGATGCTGATGAATCAAATCAATTTTTGGCAAATCCCCCTGAATGCACTCCGGTAGCAAGCTGTTCTCTTCTCACACCAGTATTACGGATTGAGGGAAGGGATAAGGGTAAAGCCAAAGTTCTCAAGTACTATAAATCAGAACCTTGGACACCTTTGTCAAATGCAGGTGAGACAATGCTTCTCCATTAACTTAACCATTATGTTATTTATTTCTTGGCGTTATTCTGTACTCTATCCACTATCAGCCTAAATGGAATTTTCTTTTGACAGTGCCTTAATCTTTCATCAATTGATAGTTTTTTTTAGGTGTTTTTACATATATACCACACAATTCTCATGTATTTATATATCTGACATCTAAACTTTATTTTATACATTTATAACACCCAAATATCTATATTACATAAAAAAATAAGGTGGCATATATGTAAAAATTGAATTTTAGATGTTAGATATGTAAATGCATAGAAATTGAATGGTATGTATTTAACTTTTTCTTTTTAATTGTGGTTATTAATGAGGTTTGCAGTTAGCTCAGTCTTACTTTTGATATGCAGATCTACACCCTTTTGTAGATCCTTCTTCTAGCAATCTTCTAACTCCAGCTTCTACTTGCCGATTTGACAGCTCATTAGGTAATTGATGTGATTACTTAAACATGAAGCATTTGTTAGAGAAGATTTCTTATGTGCATACTTTGTTAAATTAATGCGTCCAGTTTTAAAATCTGGAACTAGAGCAAAAAAATCAGGTTTTTCTCTTTTTATCGAAGTGCTCTGCATCTATTGGGGCTGTTGAAGCATTTTTTTGAGAAGATTTCTTATATGCTTACTTTTTTAAATTAGTGTATTCAGTCTTAGGCTCTAAGTGTTTGAAACTACAGAAAAAATGGTTCTCTCTCTTTTTTACTAAAACGCTGTACCTGTTAGGGCTGTTGACCAGGAAAGTCCTCAATTTGCTTAAAAGTGCTCATGATGGCGTTCTTGACCTTAACAAAGCTGCTGATACTTTGAAGGTTAGACTTACATATTTCTTTGCTTTTTATTGGAGTAAATTGATGGAAAGTATATAAAAATAAAAGTATGAGACATATGAAAGTATTGTTATGTAGGTGCCAAAGAGGCGTCTTTATGACATCACAAATGTTTTAGAGGGAGTTGGACTGATAGAGAAGAAACACAGAAACACAATCCGCTGGAAGTAAACTCATTTTTACTTTTCTTGAATGTTCTTTTAGGATCTTTAACCTTAAGTATTGAAAATAAATTAAAGATCAGATTTTTAACAGGGGACTTGAATTGAGACCTGGTGAAGATGACGAAGTTTCAGAATTACAGGCATGTTAAAAATATTAGGAAAAATTGTCTGAAACATCCAAATCTTGCCTATTTATGAAATTCAAACTCGATCCAAAAAAAAAATGAATTCATTTATTCACACTTGCTTCTATTAAATCATTGAGAGTTCAACAAAACATTTAGAATGAAAGTTGATGTTGTGTTATTTAAGATTTTGGTAATGCTATTTGGAAGTTACTTTTGCAAATTGGCAGGATTTGTTTGGTGGAATTTTTTTATTAAATTCATCTGTACTCTCAATTTTTTCCCTATTATTGTTCTAGAAGTGCGACTTTTAACTTCTGTAATTTATGATTTTAAATGCTATAGACTATCTTTTTCTTTATTGATATGTACCCTTCTCTTCAGGCTGAGGTTGAGAGCCTTGCGTTGCAAGAGTCTAATCTGGATGTTCGTATTAAGTATGTTATTCATTATATCATGAATATCCATAGAGATTTATTTTTTGTCCAGCCTAATTTGGAAGGTTCTTACAGTGAAATGAAAGAACGGATAAGGGAACTAAATGAAGATGAAAATAGCTCGAAGTAAGTTCACCAATAAATGCCCCATATAATACAATTGGATGTGCCTATGACTTGTTCTCTGTATGTAAAGTATGTCACTTGAATGTATATTTTATCGATACTAAATTTCATGTCCTTTGAACACTTACAGATGGCTTTATGTGACTCAAGAGGATGTCAATAACCTGCCATGCTTTCAGGTTTGATTTGTTATTTGTAATTATTGTCTACTAATATGCCTAACAATATTTGACATAAAAAAATTCTTAAATTTTCTCCATGTCAAGTCTTTCAGTTTAAATATTTTTCCTCTATTTTTATAGAATCAAACACTTATGGCTATAAAAGCACCGCAAGGCACTTCTATGGAAGTCCCAGATCCTGAAGAGGTAGGCTTGAAGTAATGCTGGAGTTACACTTTCTTTGGTCCGCCTGCTTGCTGCTCTATGTATGCTTTAGGCCATGATTTCTAAACCTCATGCATAAGCAGGCTGTTGACTATACCCAGAGGAGATATAGAATGGTACTTAGAAGCACCATGGGTCCAATCGATGTTTACTTAATCAGGTAACAGCTGCCTTATCACTCAGCTAAAATATTTAGGATTCACTTGGGATCACTTTTTTTTTCTATTTTTTCTTTTTAGAAAATGAACATGTTTGATTAAGATATGATTATTTTTTTAAAACACTCAAATGTTTTTAGCAACAAAAAAATAAAAAATATATTAAAAATACAGTAAACAAACATGTTTTTTAAAAAAAGGGAAAAAATAAAAACAAAATTGATCCCAAACATGCCCTTAACTTCTCTAACTTCAGCTAGAAATTTGGATGGTGATATCTTTGATTTATGCTCATAAAATTGAAACACTTTGGTCCTTTTTTGACTGTTGTTCTCAGTCAATTTGAGGAAAATGTTGAGGAGATGAATGGCATTGAGACATCACCAAATCTCCCTTCTGCATCAAAATCTGGCTGCAATGAGCATTCAGATGCTCCAGCATTGACTGACCAAAGCACAGAAAGGGAATTGAAGCTTATGGTCGATGGCTTCGAGAGAATTAACGCAGATTCAAATGCTCCACAGGATTACATGGATGGAATGATGAAGGTTGTTTCTCCTTATGCAGATGTAAGTGCCATAATTTATCCATCCTTTTTAAGCAGCAACCATCAACTTAATGCAATTTTTGTTTCTCAAATATATGCTTTTTTACTTTTTAAATCTTTTTTCCCTATGTTTAAGTCAAAAGCATCCATTTTAATTTCTTATGATAGCCAAGCTTCAAACATATTCATGTCTTCTCATGCACACGCACCAAGCCTGAATATTTTGGTTTTGTATATTCCTCTTCGATTTGTAAGAATTTAAGAGGATGAATTTAAATCTAAATTAGGTTTAAATTTTGACTTGGAGGTAATACAAAATTACAAATTTTGTAGCAAACTTTTAAATCTAATTTTATTGAAAAACCAATGAAAATTTCTATTTATCCTTAAGTTAGCTATTATAATTGTATACTACAAAAATGATAGCACGAATCCTGAGGAGATGGAACAACAAAAAATAGAATTGTACAAATAAAGTTCCAGACGACATGACAGAAAATCTTCTAGCAAGCAGTCGATCGACTTTGCAGCTCAATTGACCAAAATAGTATTCCGGTCGGTGAAGATTCCCGTCGATGGAATCTTTGAGTAAAAAAGTTGATTTTCAAATGATCGCAATCGAATACCCATGTCCTGGTCTAACAACCTGATCTCTATAAGAAGATATTGTCGGTCGTCACAGTTGATCGACATACACATATGGTAATCGATCGACATAGCTAACCGACCTCAGGGCTTTACATGATTGACCAGAAGCCAACTTTTACTTTCATTACTATATAGTCTCTATACAATCATTCAAACAGTTATAGAAATTCTTCTTTCCTTATATGCAATTGTATCCAATGACTCCCATAAATTGAAGGTCGTGACATCAATAAAGGGACATTTTGATTCTTTTACTTTTGGATATGAGGATTTCTTGACACTCCTGGTTCCTCTCTCCCTCTCACTTTTCTCCTCTCAGCTCTAACTCTCGGGGCATCTTCTCAAAGACAATCTAGGATTCAACATCCTAAAAGGTGGTGCAGTGAGTGTGGACATGCCTCAGATGAGAAGCTGAGCAAATTACAAAGCAAAAACACATCAGAGGGACACCTTGCATATGGGTTTCAATAAAAAATCAGTGGACTGAGAAATCCAATGACATGTTCAAGAATTATGGGATCAGATGACGAGCCAGTTCGAAATTCCTTAACAAACAATTTTGTAGAAGAACAACGATCAGTCATCGATTCTTGAAGTGGGCTTTTAGGGAACTTGCCTTCAAAGGGTTCCCTAAAGCATCTGCCCGCGCCCATCGCACATGCCAATAATCAACTGATTGAAGGTGAAAGATATTCCCAGGAAAATGGCCAGCACTGGGTTTACACCGATGGTTAGTCATGGGGTGGAACGAGTTGAAGCACCTACTCAACCGGCCGCTGTTAGCGCCTTCACTTGACAGATTGTGGAAGCGGTAGCACGAGCGAAGATAAGGGTCCCTCATCTAGACCCTTACAAGGAGAAAAGTGATCTAATCGACTAGTTAGCTTCTTTTAAGTCGTCAATCAAGATACTTCGGATCAGCAATGTCATCAAATGTCGTTATTACCTAATGACACTTAAGGAATCGGCTCTTCACTGGTTCCACGCTCTACCGATCATAATCATCCAGACCTTTTTTGAGTTTAGGAAACTTTTTTCTGGCGCACTTTTCCAATTTGCAGAAGCCGAGGAAGAAGACGTGTGCTCTGCTGCAGATCAAGCAGGGGGAGAACGAAAACTTGCAATCCTACAGCACTTTTTTTTAAAAGATCTTAGAAGTGCAAGACTTTAAGCCATTGATAGCCCAGACTTCTTTGGCCCAAGGGGTTAGAGATGTTCGTTTCAAGTATGACCAAAAAATGCTGGAACCGAAGTCCTTTTTCGGGATGTTGGAAATGTCCAACAGCCGTATCGCTGGCGAAGAATCTTGTACCAACCCCGCCGCAGCCAAGTTGGCATCATTCTCTTCACAATGAAAGAAGAGGAAGAGAGGATTAAGGGCAGAAGACGAGGGGGCAATCAGAACTCCTCCGGCCGTTAGTACCACAGCAACACCCCGAGATTGCGGGAGAGCCGAGGCCATTACAATCATAATCGGAGTTCAAACCGGCGGGCGTTTTGATATTACGAGCGACCACATGTGCATCGGGAAATGCAGGGCTTACCCTTGCTAAATGTCTCGATGGTTGAACTAGTAACAGCCATACATAATAAAGAGTATTCCAAGAAATCCCATCAATGAAGGTCGAACTTGCTATTCGAAATCCAAACAAGTATTGCAACTACCATCGAAATCAACGGCACGACACAGAGAAGTGTCTCCATCTTCAGAACCTAGTGGAGGAACTTATCAAAGGCCGCAAAGTTTAAGGATTTCATCACTATCGGGGGACAGATGAGGTGACAAGGTGAAGAGCCAACTGACGGACCGTTTAGGGTGAATGAAGTTCAAATTGTCGGAATCATCACTACAATCTTTGGAGGAGGAGAATCTTCTCGTCAATCCATCCATAAAAGGCTTCAAATGGGAGAGGTATGTTTCGTTGCCGCTTCACACAAAATTGCACCTCATAACACATAGAATCCACCAATTCTTTTTTGCTTTCAGGGCAAATAATCCATACTTCCAAATTTTAAGGACTTATAGTTCCCATGTATTTAAATCATTTTTTATCAAGAACATTCAGAGATATTAAATCCCTTTTAAGGTTTAGTATATGCTCGACTCCTATCAATGTTTTAGTCATACCATTTATGCACCTAACTTGACAACTTCAAACTGTGCTAACACCCTATATTGTTTCTCATCTAAACAAGAACACCATTTGTATCACTTAGAGATTTAGTATAATCTATTTCATTCCTGAGTCATAATCTTTATGGTTCTGCTTGCTATGGTGCTCCTTCCCTTTTGAAGATTTTCCTCTTTATTTTTCTATTGTTTTATGATAAAAACAATTATTGTTGTATCTGCCATAAAATTTCCTTATATGATAAGAGACACAACAAAAAAAAAACCTCCCTCTAATTAAAAATCTTCTTTGACCACTTTTCATCTCCAATATCCTTAGATAGAAATCATATCATTAAAAAGAAGTAGATTCTTAACCTATTCTCTGAGTTGATTTTTGTGGAAATTTGAAAGATTTTGGAGGAGATCTAATAAGATCCTAGAAGATTTGATTGGGACAACTTAGTAAACTTTTGATTAGTTTATTTACTTCCTATTATACAACAACAACAACAACAACAACAAGCCTTTTCCCACTAAGTGGGGTCTACTAAATGAATTCTTTTTCTCCATTGCTTCCTATTGAGTGTCATATTTCATTTAGTTCTAATAAATTAAGATCATTTTTCATACAATATGCCCAAGTCTTTCTAGGTTTACCTCTGTCTGTCTTAACATAAGTCGAATAAAAAACATCTACTCTCCTAACTGAATCATTAGATGGTCGACATTTAATGTGAGCAAACCATCTAACACGACTCTCTCTAATTTTGTCCACCATTGAAACTACACCAACGCTTTCACAAATATATTCATTTCGCAATTTGTCTCTAATAGTAAAGTCACTCTTCACCTAAGCATTCTCATATCGACAACACTTAACTTAGTTTTATGCTTCTCTTTTAAAGGCCAACATTCTGCATCATAGAACATTGTAAGTCTCACCACCATCTTATAAAATTTTCCTTTCAGTCTAAGTGGTACTTTTCTATCGCACAATATGCCCGAAGCATTCCTCCACTTCAACCCTCGTCTATATCACCAACTTGAATTCTTCGGTGACAATCAGGCATCTCCTATCGTTTACAATTTTCTCCGCTTCGGATTTGTCGGGTTTTCGCTTTTCTAGGGTTTCACGTTCGTGGGATCTGACGCTGGTTTGGGTTGGAGCATCGTTTATATTTGAAAGTGTCGTTCTTTGGTGTCTTGAAGGGCGATTCTTGATATTTTCATACAGGTATGTCGTTATAACAAGACACAAATCCTACTTATATGCTATGATCGATAGCATCTGGATCGTGTAACTGAATCCTATTTGTGGGCTTCGACACTCTTGGGCTTCGGCACTCCAAGCTTCAACCTCTCGGGCTTCGGCACTCTCAGGCTTCAGCCACTCGGGCTTTGGCGCTCTCAGGCTTCGATATTCTCAGGCTTCGGCACTCTCGGTTTCGACAACTTGAGGATTTTTTGTCCCGACAATGTTATCAGCTTCTTGTTGGCAAATTATTGTTTTCTGATCAATCAACATCAATTTGAGGTGGGGATGTCAATCATGAAGGATGGAAATCGGGTTAGTTAAATTAAGAGTTTTCTATAATTAGAAGTTTTCTTATTTCCAATATTTTTATTCTGATTTATTTACATATTAGCTGAATATTTAGATTAGAAATATGTATTATTAAGTTACCTAAAGTAGGTTATGCACTTTCTTTTGTACCTAAAATAGATTGTAAGATTATTATTTAATGGAATGAAAGCAAAGGAAGAAGGCATTGTCTATTCATATTTCAACATATTTTTCTCAAAACTTTGACAGAGTATTAATTTATTAAATAATCATAAATGGGCTCTAATCTAGCTGAGCCGATTGAATGCTTGATTCGTTTGCAAGCCTAATGATCAAACTTTTGGGTTGACCATAGATTTTATTGTTAGTACATTTTGGTCCGTACCTCCTCAGAAAGAGGCATTACAATTACGTCTAAAAAAACAATACCCCCACTTGGTAGATGCTAGCCTCAGGCATCTAATAGTAGTTGGGAACTAACCCGAACAGCACAGCAGATGCAATTTATGGCCCGTAAAGATCCTGATTTAGGGTTCTCTATATTTCTTACAGATTTAATGTCATAGTGTGGTAATGTGAGATATCATGTCACAAGTCTTAATGACCAAATGATGACGGTCTTAAGCTAAGGATCCTTTGGTATGCCAATTAACCATTAGATCCTAGATTCAAAGTTTTGAGAAGTATTCCAATAGGTGAACGTGACCTAATCCTGAGGGCCCTACTGGAGAATTTATTCTAGATTATTGATATTATTATTCATTAAAAAGTGTTTACTCTTTTTAATGCAATTGTTTTTAGTGAAATACTAGTAGGGATATGACAAATAAAGTTTGCATGTCTAAAATATGTTCTACAAGATGATTTAGAAACACTAATACTTTTATGGACAAGATGGTGTTTGTTTCATTGGAAAGACTTTTAAAAGCTTGCATTCCTAAATTTTTTAGAATTTTTAGATGCGTACCACTCAATTCCTATGCATTGACATATCTAACACTGAAACTTTAATTTTGACAGACATGTCATGCCACCTTTCCTATGCGTGAAAAGGTTTATTTTACCTTTTAAAAGTTAAAATGTTGGAAATTTTTGTGATATGAATGATTTGGGTGATATTAATGGAAACAATAAAATTTAGGTGTTATACATGTAAATACATAGCAGTTGGGTGGCATGCATGTAAATGTCCCTTTCTTTTTTGAGTCTACAGTGAATCAAAAATCTAGTAGTGAATATTAATGTAGTAATTAAATCTAGTTTCGATTAAAATTTTCATAGGAGTCTTGTACTTGACACCAGTGCCATGATTGATAGTATATCCTTGCACAGTTGAAACTTTCTCCATGTAACAACAATAACAACAACAATAAACCTTTATCCCACCAAATTGGGTCGGCTTCATGAATCCTTTTTCTCCATTGCATCCTATTGAGTATCATATTTTCATTTAACTTTAATAACTTAAGATCATTTTTATACAATATGTCCAAGTCTTTCTAGGTCTATTTTTGTCTTTCTTAACATAAATCGAATCCAACTACTCTCCTAACCGAATCATCAGATTGTCGACATTTAAAATGACTAAACCATCTAAGACGACTTTCTCTAATTTTATCCGCCACTTGAGCTACACCAACCCTATCACGGATATATTCATTTCTCAATTTGTCTCTAAATGTAAAGCCACTCATCCATGTAAACATTTTCATCTCAGCAACACTAAACTTAGTTTATGCTTCTCTTTTAAAGTCCAACATTCTGAGCCATAGAGCATTGCAGGTCTCGCTGCTATCTTACAAAATTTTCCTTTAGCCTAAGCGGTATTTTTCTATCACAATGGGCGTGAAGCATTCCTCCACTTCAACCTACCAACTTGAATTCTACTAATAACATCCCCATCTATATCACCATCACTTTGAACAATAGACCCAAAATATTGAAAATGTTCACGCATTTTAATAATTTGATCACCCATAGTTAGAATTGTGTCCTTAGAGCTACTACTGCTAAAATTACATTCCATGTATTCAGTTTTAGTTCTACTCAAATGAAGATCTTTAGACTCCAAAGTAAACCTCTATAATTCAAGTTTTTCCTGAGCTATTTCTCTAGTCTTATCCTAAAAATATCATTAACAAAAAGCATACACCAAGGTACTTCCTCCTCTAAATGTCTAGTAAGAGCATCCATAACTAAAGCAAAAGGATATGGGCTTAAAACTTATCCCTAATGTAATCCAACTAAAATAGAAAAATATTTGGTCAATCCTCCTGTTTGAGTACAAGTGACAGCTCTAGTATACATATCTTTCATGACTTGAATATAAGTCATATCAACAACTTTCTTCTCTAGAACTTTCTAGAGGATATTTTTTGGAACCTTATTGTATATTTTTTCTAAATCAATAAAAATCATATGTAGATCTTTCTTATTCTCTCTGTACTTCTCCATCAAACCTCTCAATAAATGTATAGCTGTCATAGTCTACTTGCCCGGCATAAATCCAAACTAATTATGAGAAATTTTTGTGTTCAATTGTCCTCTGCTACAATTTTAAAGTATGACACTTCAACTTAATTTCTCTATAATTTGTATGTTCTTGTGCATCATCTTTAATCTTAAAAATTGGGATCAAAATACTCTTCCTCCACTCCTCAAATTTTTAAAATAATATTAAAAAGTTTAGTACGCAAAGGAACTCCCAAATCTCTTAAATATTTCTACACTTTAATTGGGATATCATCAGGTCCTACAGACTTTTCACCCTTTATTTCTTTAAAGTATCATCATTTTTTTTTATTAATGCAACGGTAAAAATGAAATATATTATTATTATTAACGATATTAAATCACTAAGCTCGATCGTATTTTCAGAAACTTTATTGAAAATTTTATCAAAATAACTCACCACTTTTGTTAAATATTTTTTTATTTTCATATTTAATACACATTAGTTCTATTATAAATATCACTAAAAGCTGAATTTTTAGCATCATAGATTGTTTTCTTAAACTTTCTACTGGATATTTTATATTTTTAACAGTTCTCTAAGCTTTAACATTTAAACCAATTTTTATAACGTAATTTTTTATATTTTATTTTTTATTGCATATTTTTATTCCACCATAACTATTTTTTATTTATAGAAACCTTCATTTTAATTCTCCAAATATCTTTTGTTACTTGTTTAATAGTATTTGTTACATTATCCCACATAAAGTTTGTTACTTCATGAACATCCTAAATCTTGAAATGTTGAACTTTACTCATGAAAATATTTTTATTTGCATCTTTTAGTTGTCTCATCAATTCTATGACAATGATTCCTAGTATTTTTTATTTTACAACTCATCATTTTAAAATCCAGAACTAATAATCGATGTTAAATACGTAAATTCTCACTTGGAATGATCTCACAATATTTACATTCTCAACAATCTCTTCTTCTCATAAGAAAATTATCAATTTATGTTTTATCACGTCCATTCTTATGAGTAATAGTATGCTTAAATATTTTCTTGATTAAAGTATTGGCAATAACAAAATCATATACTAAAGCAAAAATTAATATTGTTCGACCTTTATTAATCATTCCAAAATCATACCCATCATAAACCCAGAAGAGTATCATAATTCAACTAGTCTACAAGCGTACTGTACTTTGTGTGTGTGTTTTATCATTATCAATTTTTTTTGTGGTGCATTTACATACATAACATCAAATACCTACGTATTTACATATCTAAAAACAATACTTTATTTTCAACATTTATACCGCTCAAGTCTTTATCACATAAAAAATACCATTATTTTAAACTTTTAAAAGTGAAATGCACTTTTTCACATTTATACCGCTCAAGTCTTTATCACATAAAAAAATACCACTATTCTAACTTTTAAAAGTGAAATGCACTTTTTCATACATAATGCACTTTTTCGGCAAGGTGACAAATATGTAAAAATTGAAATATAGGTTGTTAATATGTAAATACATAAGAATTAAGTGGTATGTATGTAAATCTTTCTCTTTTTTGGGATAAAATAAGAATATTCTGAAGCATTAGTAATTGTTGCCGTATGGAGCAGGATATTGAATAGCATATTGGCTTTTGCAGACTTATTCAGACTACTGGTTAGCTTCGGATACAGTGTTCAGCATGACAGATCTGTGGAATACACCATGTATCCTTCTCATCCTGTCTCCAAAGAAGTTTACTTCTACCATCTTTTGTCCTCTTACAGCAGTCTCTCTTGTTCAATTCCTGCTCATAATTTCATCTGGATAAATTTCAATTTATTTTGAGATAAATGTAATATAAAAATCAATTGATTATTCATATATTACACATATCTTAGAGTAAGTCCTAGATTTCTAAAACTTATCTAAACTAACTTTTGATCGAGATTTTTAGACCCAATTTTTATTTCTTTTTTTTCTGGGAAATTTATATATACCATACCATTTTTATGTATTTACATATCTAACACCTGACGTTTGATATTTGCAGGTGTATTTCACTTTTAAAAATGAAAAAATTGTGTTATTTTTTATATGATATTAAAAATTATGAGAGTTTAGATGATAGATATGTCAATAAATAAGACTGGTGTGGTATGTACGTAAATGCCCCCCCTTTTTTTATATAAGCATAATGTTGGGCCTTTACCTTTCTCAAAGCTGACCAATGGGATGGAAATCCTGATGATTTTTTGAATTTTGAGTCCGATACGCCATCAAATGCCGCTGATTCACCCAACTCAAACACAATACCCAAAGATGAGTTCTAGCCACCGAAGAATTACAGTCTAAATTTCGAATCCTCCGTGTCAATAAAAACTACAAATACTATGATCCCATACTTAGAAGCGGTTAGCTATAATGAGCTCCTACAATGCAGGAAGTGCGGACCATCAAAATAGCCCAGTAGTGTCATGTACAGCCGATGAACTCTTACCATTTTTTTCCCAGTAAAGTTCTAAAAAGGTTTCAACTTTCAGCCATTCATCTCTCCCCAACTATTTTCTAATATTCAAATCCCCTATAGTTCAATAAAGCCCTTACACACAAATTTCCAAAACAGTCAAATTCATCCGCTTTGATTGTAAGATGCAAGACGATTTAGATAATAAAGATCTCATGGTTGGTTCTTTTTTTTTTTTTTTGGCAACAATATATGGCATTTTTTTGTTCATAGATGTTCACTATATGCCATCAATTTCTGAAACATTTTTGTTCCACCGTAAAACCTCATCATTCATGGCAATACAAAGGAAAGTAAGCATCAAAGATCCTAATTTGGCTGTAAAATTATTCACCTTGTATACAATCTACAGGACTTGCTCCCTTCTAAAGCTACAGGCCAAACAAAGAAGGAGAAGACGAAGAGCCCATCCATTCACTTCTCCTCCTTCTTGTCGGCGGCCGTCTTCCTCTTCCCAATCCAACCAGCGACAATGGGGGTAAGCGCGACAGTAGGAGGGAACCTGATCGGCGACGCCGCCTTGTGCGCGGCATAAGCGAGCGCGAAGGTTCCTACCTTCTCCCCGGTCTCATCCACCGCAATCCCAACCTGCAGCAAACCATCAATATTCCTCCTCCCTCATTCCAATTTGAACTTACAGTGAAAGGAAAGCAAACCTTGCTGAGCAGAGCCTGGACGTCGATGCCGGCGCTGACAAGTAGATAGCAGAGAGCGAAGGAGATGAGCGATAGAGTGATGGACGTCGCCAGGTACGCTCCTCCATACTTTGCCAGCAGCTCCTTTGCTTCATCCGTCTTTGATTTCTTCCTCGTCCCCCTTTCTTCCTCCCCGGATCTAAATATCTAACCCAAGCAAATGAAATTGGAAATGGTGTGATAAAATAAGATTTTAGGAAAGACAAATTGGTTGCGTACGTTCCATAGGCCGAACTCGAGGCCGTACTTCTTTGTGATCTCTTCGGCGGAAGATGAGTTCTCCTTCTCCTTCTGGGTGGTTATTGCGTGGATTGGGACAAGCCGGCGGGTGCGCTGATGGAGGGAATAGGTTTGTTGTCTTCTAGCCGGAGCTCGGCTGAGGGTGGTAAGTAATTGGCGGGGAAGATTTGGGGATAGGAGCAGAGTTGCGGCCATGGATGCAACAAACACTCGAGCTGTAGTTTGGGTAAAGGTTGCGGAGAGGGGGAAGACGGATGAAGATCAGGTTAGGGTGGTGGACCTGAGTCGGCCATGTCACTCGATATATATCTCTGCCTGCATAAAATAATATATAAAATAGTTATTTTGATAATTTAAACAATTTTAAAATAGGGAATTCATATACATTTACATTTCCTAATTTAAATTGAGATATGTCAAAAAAAAGGTGGTCTAAACAATCCTAAAAATGTCAAAATAGGCATGTTTGAGCTCAAAAATCGACCTTGGATTCGATCAAGCCAGCTGACTGCACAGTAACTTATTTATCAAAAAAAAATGTAGAAATTGTTTTTCATTAAATAGTATTATTTAATGACTAAAAAAACTGCCATGTTTTTTTAGGGGCTAAAAACTCTCGATTTTTGTAGGAAATTTAAATCAAATTTTTTTGTTACTTCTCGTACCTTGTAAAATATAATTACCTTCTGGAAAAGTTCTTAATTTTCTGTTTTATGTTTTCAAGTCCTTTGAAATGTAATTCAATGTAATTTGTATAGGCTTCTGAACTACACTGTTTTCTCCGTTAGAAGTATCGAACTACCTCTATATAACGCACATTGGATAATTTACATTTTATGTTGGGTGAGCAGTTGCATTGCATTTGGGGTTGAGTCATTGCACAGTGTATAGGACTACTTATTGTTCTGACGAGTGTTATAATGTTCTATAATGTGTGTTGGGATTTCATAATGCATGTTATGACTCCAAAAGAGATTTCGTCATAAGGAGCAGGTGACCCTTATGGAGTTCGAGGGACAGTCAATTGGCAGTGGGAGTGGGGGGCGTTCACTGGACCTTCAATGTAGAACACAGGGGCTCAATTTATTCTCCTTTAAGTTCTAGTATTCCTTTAGTTCAAGGTGTGGCTCTCCTCTCAAGAGAGTGGTAAGGCTCTTTTAATAGAGTGTAGAAGAAACCTCCTTACAAATAAGTAAGGAATCTTGACTATTTCATTAGAGGATCTAGAGAGATTCTCTTGATTAAACAACATTGTGTGGACATTTGAGTGTCTTATTGATGTTGTAATTAAGGGATCTTGTGCTCATTTGATTCTTCTTGTCAAATGCCCGATTCGACTATAAGTTTGTCAGATTTGCATTGTGTTTGACTTTTTAATTAGACACTTTAAGTTTCTGAAAATAGTTTAATGAGTCATTCCGAGCTTGATTTGACTCTGATTGGATTAATTTTTGCGTCATTGTGTTTGTTTTGTCAAGACAGTCAGTTTAACTACAAGTCTGCTTAAATTTGTGTTTTGAAGTATCTTTAACTCAAGTTTGAATGTTCATTATTCAAAAAAAAAAAAATTGCATCCAGGTCATTCCTTGAGATTTGTGTGTAATTATTAAAACCTATTTATCCTGTACCAATAGTGAGGGTGATATCTTTATTGTGATGTTAAAGATTTGAGTGATATTAATATGAATATTTAGGCATTATATACGTAAATATATAAAATTTTTGTGACACGTATGTAAATGCCAGTAAAGTAAATGGGTCCGAAGATGGTCTCTTGGTCAGAATGAATTCTAAAAGTTTTAAATTAAAAAATAAATTAATTAATTAAAATTTTATCTTGATCAAATTTTTGTAAGAATATTTTGATCCAATTTCTTGTCTACAGATATATTTAATTTTTTTTCATGTAAATTATTTAATTTTTTTTTGAATTAATCGATTTTTTAAAAGTGACTTTTTAAAAGTGTAATAAATGACTTACAGCTCTACAATGAAAAAGTAGTTTCATTAATTACTTTCTTACCCCCATTTAACTTGAAGCTTAGTGGCAATAAAATGGCGACGATGTGAGAGTTCGTCCCCATTAAAACTCGATATTTTTTTTCTTTAGCGAACGGCAATTTTTTAATTATTTTAAATTTTGGGACTCAACAATAAAAGGTCGTGAGTCAAACTTCAGCTAACTTGAACTAGACTCTTCAGCTCTTTTAAGAAATATTTTCCTGTAACTCACTTAAACAATATTAATATTCAATAATTTGAGTACAAATTTGTTAAAGCCTTTAAAAATTTTATTTTAATAACTTGTATAAATTGTTTTTTTTTTCTCATTTAATTTTATATTATTTTTAGAATAATATGCCAAAATAATTTCTAACTATTTTCTTAGCCTTATAATTAATAAAAATCTCAAAATAATTCAAAATTTCTTTAAATTAAGAATTATATAGTTCTTATGGAGAAGGAGAACTAAAATTTAATTTTAAAATAGTTGAGGATTATTTTGACATTTTATTTATTATTTTTATTAATTGTTTTAAAGAATATTCTGTCAAAAAAATTTTAAACATCTTCAATTTTATAATATAAACATTAAAAATGGGAGGAAAAAAATTTTATGAGTTAAATTTTCTTGGAAAATACAAATCTGCAAAACAAAAACTGTTGAAAAGTAACTCCCGTCGCATGCGAAGCCACAAGTGTCAAGGTTGAACTGACCATAAGCATTTAATTCTTGAAAATAAAATAAGGGAGAATTTACAGGTATACCACACAATTTTTTTTTTTTACACTAAAATATCAAGATTTATTTAATTATTATAATTATTTATCTATTATGTTCATTAATTTGTTATTCATCTATAGCATATTTTATAGCCTATTTTCATTTTTACAGAGCCATATGTGAAAATATGATATTCTAACAAAAGATGATAAGACAAATGTGAAAGTATTTATATTTAGTAAAATGTAAATAAATACCACAGGATTCTTCTATATTTATATATCTAACACTTAAAATTAAATATTTATACTTATAACATCAAATTATATATGAGAAGACATTTCTCTTTTATAAAGATAAAAATAGTAATATTTTTATGTGATAGTAAAAATTAAAGTGATATCCATATAAATTTGATTAATGTTTAGTTATTAGATATATAAATGCATAAGAATTATGTGGTTTGCATGCAAATGTCATTTAAATTTGTTAAAAATTAAGTGTAATATTATTTATTATAAGTTACATTTATCATAAAATAAATTTAAAAGGTTGACCACCATTCAAATTGATATGTCATCAATAAACTCCAACAAATATTTTTTTATTTTTTTATGAAATTCTCAATATATCTAAAAACAATACATCAATTATACAAAAAATTATTTTATATGGACAGCTTATGTTGAAATACATACGCTGTCCGATCTACACCGATCATCAAGACAAACATGTATTTCGCGGCCATAATGTAATAATTTTTCTAGTTGTACGGTTCGAAAAGTCACCAGCATGTTTATATTAAAAATATCAAAGTTTGGGATGATTTGTATGTAATTATCCCTTAAAAACAATTATACCTAAAAATTATAATTCATAATACAAATAATTTCAAGATACGTACGTAATTAACAAACCCCAGCCCCGTCCCCCACAATCTTAGCATCCGGCAACCTCCAACAAACCATCGATCTCTATCAACGTTCCCCACCGTCCGTTTTCACAACGCACGGTTCTGATCCAAAATCGCCCATCCCCCTACTACTAATAGAAACCATGTCATTCACAATAATCCTCAAAAAAGAAAATCCAAACGCTCGGCTGACAGAGATCGCCGGAAAATCGGCCGTTCACCGTCGCCGGAACTCCCAATTTCCCATTCTTCTTCCATCGTTATTTCAATTCCCGATGTCAGCCCCCACCACCATCGCCGCCGCCGCTCCCAACGGCGACCTTAAGCTCCACCACCGGCGATCGCCGGCCTTCCGCCGGAAAATAGATCCCGCCGGAGTCGATATCCCCCAGGCTGAGAATAAGGATCCGGAGTTCACTAATTGGAGCTCCGACTACACGAGCATCCGAGACCTGATAGCCTCCTCGCCGCGAAGCTGCGCCGCCTCTCCGACCGCCTTCGGATCGGAGATCCAGATCCGAAACCCGCTTGTTAAGCAGGCGGTGTGCGCGTATCTGCAGCTAACCCCTTCCTCCGCCGACACATCATCCTCCTCCTCCTTCTGGAATCTGCATCTCCGGCGGCTCATGACGGCGATCTCCGCAGCCTTCCGGCCGCTCCGCCGCTGCTTTAGGATCATTGCACGGCTGCTCTGCTGCGCAAACTCCGGCGAATCGCGGTGATCCCATTCCCATCCCTTATTTACTTTTTCTGCTAGTCTGTGTTATCGATTTGTGAATCATAGAAGTGCCAGAAAAAAAAAGTGTCGATTTGTGAATCATAGAAGTGCCAGAAAAAAAAAAGTGTTTTTTTTTTTTTTAATTAATGCAAAGAATGATTGAAAATAGTTTGAAAAAGGGGTTCGATCATCGTCCAACAATTGTAAAAAAATAGAAAAATAATATTTATGTACATAATATTTATTTACAGGGAAGCTCAAAAAAAAAAAAAAAAGGCTTTTGATGATTCTAGCGATGGGGTTTGGATCGGCGATGGGTCCCCTGGGCGGCGCGGAAGGCCTCCTCTACTTCGGGGCTGTAAGAGAAATCGTCCTTCTCTTTTTCTGACCGTCGGATTGCGAGGGGGTCGTCTTCAGACCGTTTATTTTTCTGCAAAATTGAGGGGAATGAAATGCAATATTTTAGGGTTTTGTTTTTTGTGGTAGAGATATTCTGATTGAAATTTGATTCATGTGACATGTGACGATTATAAAATACGAACTTTTACGTACGTTCCACGTAATTCTTATGATTTTTTGATTTGGTATTAAAAATTTAGTGGTATTTCTGTAAATATTAAATTTTAGATGTTAGAAATGTAAAATAAATCAAACGAATCTGAAATTAAAAAAAAGGACGTATTGTTATTTCTTGATGATTTTTTTTTAAATAAATACATATATTAATGTTTTATAATTTTAATTTATATTTCATGGCCAGTATCTCTTTATTATGGAATAGAATTTGCCCCTAGATTTAAAATCATGTTATAATAAATTTACCTCGTATTACCGTTCTAAATTCAATTTATTTAAAATTGAATAATAAGTTTTGTCTTCAAAAATTATATTAAAATTAGATTATTATTTTCGGACATTTACATCAATACCAAAATTTTATATTTTACATTTCTATCACTCAAATATTTCATATCACATCAAATATATAACCAAATTTAACTTTTAAAAGTGAAATACACATTTTGATGCATAGTTAAGGTGATATATATATATATATATGTGAAAATTAAATTTTAAATATTAGCAGGAGCAGAACATGCATTATTTTTCAGGGAAAAATCATCAAATACTTAATTTCTTTTAAATTATTAGGTAGAAAAAGTATGAAGAGAGGCAAAATTGTAAAATATTAAGTTTTAGTATTTATGTAAAGAAATAGTAAATTCTGGAGCTTACATATGTCAATGCATAAAAGTTGAGTGGCATGTATGTAAATGCTTTAAAATTGTACCTTGGATTTGGAGCTGGAGGTGGAGCTGGAGGAGCCGGCGGTGATGTAATGGAGCATTTCGAGGAAGAGGGAGCGGCCCTGTTCGGTGAAGTTTTTGATGTAGAAGAGGAGGAGATCGGCGGCTCGTGCTCTGTATCTCTGCAGCCTTTGTTCAATATCGGGCTCGTGCTGGCTCACCAGAGGCCTTAGGAATGCCTCGTACACCCATCTCGTTCCCTTCGTCTTCGGGTGCCACAGGTAGATGAAAAACGCCAGCTTCGTCTCCCCATATAAAGGCACCCTATCACATAATGAATGTTGTTTATGAGAGTTTTGGTTTGAGATGGGGGTAAATCCATAAGAAATGGGTGTCATGCATGCAGATGCCCCAATTTCAACATATTATAGAAATAAAAATAAATATTATAAAATTCAAGGTTCTCAAAATTTGATCCGACATTAAATAGGTTGTAAGAGAGGTTCATGATTCAAAGATTAAACGGGGGCCTGATCTGTTAGAAACGATGGAGCCCGGTCCACTATGTTTAGGCGGCTACTTTGCTTTGGAGAGTCACACATCTTCACAAATAACCACTCCCGCCTTCCTCTTTTGGGAAGTGAAGCATATTTTCGATTCCTCTTGTTCATGATAAAAGACTTCAAATGACTCTCCCAGAAATAGTAGTAGTCACGGTTTTCTTTTTCGGGCTTCCTCGGGATAGAAGGAAGAGATGTGCAAGAGGTAGTTCCTTGCGGTGAAGGAAGAAGAAAGAAGAAGAATATTGTTCTCCCTTGGCTTCTTCTTGGTGGCTTGTGGCTGAAGAGAAATTGGATTTATTTTTCTTGTAAATTTATTTTCTTCGGTGTATCTCGGTGTAGAGTTTCTTCGGTGTATCTCGGTGTAGAGAGACAAGAAAAGAGAGAAGAAGAGAGAGCAATGAAGTGAGAGTGAGAGATTCTGTTTGTAAGTGGAGGTGATCGACTGGTGTAAAATCCTCAAGTAGTAAAATCCTCTGCAACTTTGTGGACGTAGAAAATTTGCCGAACCACGTAAATCCGTGTGTTCCACTGTGTTGTTCTTTTCCGGTGTGATTTTTCTCATTCTATTTTTCACTTCGTCGATTATTCTCCTATTTAATTTATATATATACCACATCAAGTGGTATATATAGATCTCGCAACAACAACATGATAAACTTACATTGCACTTCATTGTCAACACAATATATATATATATATAT